TACATCACATTTTTAATAGTGAAAAGTATAAACAACTTGAAATCTAAATGATATAAGGAACTGTTATCTTTGTTCAGCAGACTATTTAAAAAAATCATTTAAAAATGTGAATAAAGAGGTTCTAATATTGAAGTTAAAACTTATGTTAATAATGACTATGGTAAGACTAAGAGTATTTATTTAAAACTTTATATTCTACTTCCATAGATGGGTGTAGAGAAAAATTCTGGATGAAAGTAGAAAACAGGGAAGAAATCTCACTGAGAAGCCCCAAGTATGACCAGCAAGGGAGCAGGCTAGGAACTCAAGAGGAAAATGGCACAAAAGAATTCACACAATCATTGAGGGACTGAGAAGTCAGGAGAAATACTATAACAGGAGCTAAAAGCAAAACTGTCGAGTAAGTAAATGGGATGATACAGTAAATGAGCCTATCTTTACTGATAGGGACTTGACAGGTAGGCTCTATGACAAACTAAATGTATTGTAGAATATAAATTTTCCAGAAATAATTTGCCGAGATTATAACAAAGCTATAACATTTAGAAATGGGAAGAAATGTAGAATCAATGTTTGTTTTCTGTCCCAGCAGTGATGTGCCATCTCCCTTATATCTCATAGATAACACTAGTGTGAGATACAAGGAAGGTTTGCTCCCTGGTACTTTGCAAATGAGGGAAGGTAACAGAAAGGTCTCATAGCCTTACATCTTACATTCCATATATAGAGGGAAAAAAAACAAACCCACAAATAGAGAGGAAGCTGGTGTAGGAATTACTATCTGAAGTCAGATATGAAATTTCTATGAGAAAATTATAAGACTTAAACAGAAGCCATACTTGGTTGGTACTTGAAAAAAGAGACAGTGTTAAACTTTTTGTTGGTTCACTGATTTATTAAGTTCAAACAAATTGCTCTCAGCTCTAAGATCTATCATAAGGTAAGACAGACCAAAATTTTCTTAGTTTTGCAGCTGGCCATTCCATTTATTCTAGACTGCCTAATATACTATAGCCCCACATTAGTTTTTTGTCTTTAACTCACTAAATAGTTCAACCTGTGTCCCAGCTCACCACCTCCTAGCCAGAGACAAAAATCACCAGGAATTTTTTTTTTTAATAAGCCCTTGTGAACCCAGGTCTAAAGCCAACTGAATAATTTTAAATGCTTATTCTTGCTATAAGGTAATTTAAGAATTAGGTATCAGTATAAACTTAATTGGGTTTTTTTTCTGTTTTGTTTGTTTTAAAGATACTATATTATCACTTAAGGCTCTTCTAGAGTCTAAGAAAACAAGCAAAGTCTTTAAAAGTCTGTTTTATTACAGGCTAGAATATAATAAATTCATGATGCAATAGAGTTGATTTTTATATGCTGCACTTACTTTAGATTTACATGGGACCTTTTACACAAGCAATAGGTACAATGCATTTGTAACCATCATATTGGACTGGAAGTGTCAATGAACTCTTTCGGGTGATTTGAGCGCAATAGAATCTGAGCTGTAACTTTTGGCACTCTGTAAGCCAATTATAATCTTACACATGGTGAAACATGATCTAATATATGATAATCCTTTTAAAACCAGTTTCCATGCACATTAACTTTTTAAAATCCCACCACTGATAGGATATAACTATTTTACACAATGAATTTGTGACTATTCTATTTCCTGATACCCCTTAGTGATTAAGAGAAAACATTTCAGAGATAAGATCTGAGCAACAAAGTTAAGTAGCATATAATAAGATAAAAAAGTAACCTCTTAACACTATCCTTTCATTTACCAACTTTAACAGCAGTCTGCATGTAATGGACATGAAATAACAAGCGTTCATTACAAGTACAACAAAGAACATTCTGGTTTTAAGATCGCAGAATATTTCCAGTACTCAGAAATCACAGCGGATTTAAAATGACAGCTAAAAACGTTAGTTCGCCTTCCCATGTATATAAATATTTATGGATGTGTATAAGGCAGCATACTACCCTTTTTGAAGGAATCTAGGTTAACAAATTTAAAAAGCCATAAGATAAAGTAGATTCTCTCCCTACCCCACCCCCATAATTCTAATAAGGCCAAACTTGGAACTATTTAAGTGTTATCACCTTACCATATGTGGCAAAAGTTCTTCTTTGTTGTTCAAACATAAAATCATTGATATGAGCTGGTTCAGCATATCCAGAAAGCATATTTCTAGGGGCAGCCATTTGCTGTGTCCTAAAGGGATTTTCTGGTCCAAACTATAATGTTATAAGAAAATAAAAAGAAAGAAAGAAAAACATAAGTTCTGAGTATATGAAAGCTAGAATTACTGAACTATGTATCTTTAACTCTAAATTATCAAGGGCCAATTAACCTATTTGGGAACGTGCTAGCCTCACATGGTTCAGTGCAATTGGGCAATGACTGATTAGCACTGTTTGTCAGCCCCTGGGACAGAAGGAAAGGAACCCAGCTCACTCAAATCTATATATGGCTATTTACTTCAAGAGCTCAGTAGCCACACGTGGTATTGGCTACTACATTCCCACGATTGCAGGTTCTGACAGTGTTGCTCTAGATAACTGAGAGTTACTATAGTTTTGTCTAAACTGCGATTTGGGGGATTTTTGGTGACTTTTATATCAATAGTGGCACCATGATGTAATTAAAAAACAAAAACATGTTTCTCTTCCACTAGATTATCAATTCCTCAAACATGGAGACTCAGAATCCTCAATACTTACTACAATGTCTGGCATAAAGAAAGCACTAATGAAGGAAAGATTAATCAGAATCCCAGTGGGGGTGAAGGATAGGAAAACAATGAAAATAAAGTGCTTAAAAAACTCCCTAGGAAAAGACATTACAAATGTATATAAAATTTCTCCACTCTGAAGTCACACTATAAACATCTCACACAAAATAGTACTATTATTATCTACTTGTTTATAATGCTTTGAGTTTCCAGAACATTTTCCCAAATGTTATTTAATTTGATCTGTACAAAAATCCTGGCAAGTTAGAGAGGTATACTCCTTCTCATGTTACAAATGAAGAAAAAAGCCAAAGACAGTGTATTTTATCTGCTGTAGAGTCAAAAGTTTTATTGGTCGGTAGAACCAAGGCTAGAACAAATCCTAACCAAGCATTCTATTACATCATAACATTCCCTAAATGCATAATTATAGCTTCTAAATTAAAAAAAAAATTGGGTAAAAAAGTACCAGAATATATTATATCAAATGCTATTAATTTAATGCTATTATAAAAGGCCCTAGGAAAATTCAATTCTTTTCTTTTTGTTTTTAAATAAAGAATAAAATGAGCTTCCCACTTTGGAAAGAGTAAAAGTAACAAGATATTTTTATTTGAACTTTGTAAGACCAACTGTCATGATGAAATATTTTGACATTAGAACATCTTAGGTCATTACCATTAAAAACCATCTATTTATGATACATTACCAGAGCCACAAATATAAATTATTCATCTTCTCTTAACCAGTACACTGCATTATCTATATACCAATGTTATAATACATATGAAAATCAGTCAATGTTAGATTATTTGCCTTACATTTTTTCTGCTTTAGAAGAAAATAAATTACTACAAGATTCCTATACATTGATAGTTTCCATTTCTATGTTTAAAATCAGTCAATTTAAAAATACCTGATTTATATACAAAGCTTTTATTACTATTTATTCTAAATTATAATGGATAATGTAAGACTACGCAGCCCATGTTAGTCCTTCCTGTGCCTGCTGATGGGTCGAAAACATAGGAAAAGAATTTACTACAAGATTCCTATACATTGATAGTTTCCATTTCTATGTTTAAAATCAGTCAATTTAAAAATACCTGATTTATATACAAAGCTTTTATTAC